AGTGGCTGCACCAGTTTGCATTCCCACCAGCAGTGAACGAGGGTTCCTTTTTCTCCGCATCCTCGCCAGCATTTGTCATTTGTTGATTTGTTGATGACAGCCATTCTGACAGGTGTGAGATGGTACCTCATTGTCATTTTGATTTGCATCTCTCAGATGATTAGTGACTATGAGCATGTTTTCATATGTCTCTCAGCGTTATGTATGTCCTCTTTCAAAAAATGTCTATTTAGGTCCGTTGCCCATTTTTTGATTGGGTTGTTTATCTTCCTTTTGTTAAGTTGTATGAGTTCCCTGTAAATGTTGGAGATTAACCTTTATCAGAGATATCATTGGCAAATATGTTCTCCCATGCAGTGGGTTTTCTTGTTGTTTTGTTGATGATTTCTTTTGCTGCGCAGAAGCTTTTTATTTTGATATAGTCCCATTTGTTTATTTTCCCTTTAGTTTCCATTAGGAGATAAACTTTTGAGTTTATATTTAAAATTTAGAATTTTGTTTTCATTCCTTTGAATTCATTTAAGGAAAAATAAAGTTTTCTAAGATGGAAAAAATGTGACATTAAAACCCAAATATGTGAACCTAAATCAGAATAACTGATGTAGCCCTAGCTGGTTTGACTCAGTGAATAGAGCATTGGCCTGCAGACTGAAGGGTTCCTGGTTCGATTCAGGTCAAGGGCACATGCCCAGGTTGCAGGCTCAGTCCCCAGTGTGGGGAGAGCAGGAGGCTGCCAATCAATGAATTTTATCTCATCATTGATGTTTCTATCTCTCTCTCCCTCTCCCTTCCTCTCTGAAATCAATAAAAATATATTTAAAAAAAGAATAACTAATTTAATGTGTTTTTCTTTTCATTTGTTGAGAAACTCAATATATACAAATTGAAGGGAAACCAGGAGGCAAATTATTATGGAAATATGGATGTCAATCAAGTCTCAAGATCTGGGTTTAAGATTAGATCCTGGAATTTATATTATTGACCTTGGATTGGTGACTTTACAGCTCTCAGCTCCACTTCCCTCCTCAAATAACTAAAAATTATTTCTGATCTACATCTGCTTCATAGGGATGTGTAAGCCTCAAATTAAGGTCATGTGTTTGTAAGTACCCTGTAAACTTCAATATGCCAGAGATAGTTAATATTTGTATATGGCCCTAATTAGTAATGTTATCTGAAGAATCATTCCATAGATACTCTAAAAAATGCTCTTGATTTTTTTCTTAGGTCTTAGGAAGACAGATGTCCAGAGCGGTTCCTATTACATTTTATATTCTTTAGCCTAAAAGCTCTCTGAGACTTTCCCCTTTCTAAATGTTAGTACTTAAAAAAAAAAAGGCAAATTACTCTTTGCCCATCATCTTTCCCTTCTCTCTTACACAATGTGTAATACTTTCTTCTGTTGCAGGAGTCAGCAAATGCTTTCTGTAAAGTGCCAGACAGTAAATATTTTAGACTTTGTGGGCAACATAGGGTTTTGTCACATATCCCGTCCCAGCCTCCCTTTTCTCTTGCAACCCTTTAGCATGTAAAAGTCATTCTTCGTTGGAGGGGCTGTACAAACACAGGCCTGACTGATTTTGTCTGCAGACCTGTTATGGACTCTTATTTTTCTGGGTTCAAGCAGGTTTTAGTTAGTTTCAGCCACTAGTGATAATAATTTTCACAAAAAAGTGTCACTGGTTAGTTAAACAAAGAAATGTTGTGTGTTAAAAAAGAAAGGGCCGAAACCGGTTTGGCTCAGTGGATAGAGCGTTGGCCTGCGGACTGAAGGGTCCCAGGTTCGATTCCGGTCAAGGGCATGTACCTGGGTTGCGGGCACATCCCCAGTGGGACATGTGCAGGAGGCAGCTGGTCGATGTTTCTCTCTCATCGATGTTTCTAACTCTCTATCTCTCTCTCTTCCTCTCTGTAAAAAATCAATAAAATATATTAAAAAAAAAAAAAAAAAGAAAGAAAGGAAGAAATGTTGTGTGTTACTTTTTATCCTAAAGCAAAACAGGATTTTCAAGTGAAACAGTGTGAGTCAGTTTTTTGGTTTTTTTTTGGCATATGTTTAGCATCTGAATAAAACTGGTCTGTTCAGCTAGGGACAGAGATACTGTTTTGAATTCACATTGATGTATTACAGAATCTAAATAATTAGAAAGAGCAGGACACAGGTGATGATTGCTGAATCCAAGCCACTGCTGGCAGGAAGAAATTTTTCTAAATGAATCATGTCATTTCTAGCAAGATAGGGCTCAAAGACACTTTTCGCTCATCTTTACTTTCATTGTTTGAACAAAGTGGCAGTAATGTCAAGGACTCCAAAAGTTATCTAAACACAGTGTGCTACCGAGGGCATGGAAAAATAGGAACTCTCATACATTGGTGGTAGTGGTGTAAACTGATACTTCCTCTTTGAAGGGTGACTTGGCATTATCTGTTAACATTAAAAATATACCTACCCTTTGACCCAGTACTTCTGCTTCTGGGAATTTACTCAATAAGTACCATCCATGCAGGCAAATATCTAGTCATTGCAGCATTGCTTTTAGAGGCAAAAATATTGGAAATAACCTAAATGCCACCAATACAGCAATATGTAAGTTTGGAATAATATATATTCCAAAAAAGTAATAATGGCATGGAGAGTGTTACATAGGTCTCTCATTTTATTGTACCCTCAATTAGTAAAAACACTAAACATATTTATACTTTTAAAAACCAAAATGAAGATATTGAATTCAGTCCCTTTTATTCTCCTTTTAAATTAAATGAGGAATAGAATCAGAGTATAGTTATTGTTGGGACAATGGCTTAGTCTAGTAGTTTCTGGGAGAAAACTATCATGTCCCATGTTGATATATAATAGTCTAATATACGTACACATACATGTAAACACACATGTATACACACTTTGTTTTCTTAAGTATTTGGAAGTAAGTTGCAGATACCATGACCGTCACTTCCACATAGTTCACCATGCATCTCAGCTACATCATAACCATTACAACAATTGTCTCAAAAATACCTTTTAGTTAGTTTGAATCCATAGTTAACAGGATCCATACACATTACATTTGGTCGCTGTGTCTCTACGTCTCTAAATTCGAGCAGTTCGCCCTCATTTTTATTTTTTTAATGCTGTTATCTTACTGCAGACGGCTTCATTTATCTATGCACGCATTTATTGCACCCCCACCCCCACATTTAAAAGGAACCAAACACCATGAATTTTCAGTGTCTGGAATCTGGTTTGGTTTAGAAATACTTTTAGTGTTATAAAGGCAATGCTTTCTAAATTCACGGAAACCGCACATGGTAACGCTGTCACACGACCGCATCGCAATGTAGCGAACCCCAATCTCGGGGTCGGTAGAGGCCGCCCCTACAGCAGGGGGCAGGGTTGCCTCCTTCCCGAAGCCTGGAGTCCAGCAAGCCCCTTGCAACGCGAAGCCGAAAAAGAATGGTTTTCAAGTTGAAAACAAAGGAAAACTAAATGAAAAAGTGTCCTCTGAAACCAGAGATAAGGTAAATTCCCCGAGAACGTGGTGCTAGGGAAACAGACCACCGAAATGACACAGACGGTCGAGGTTCTGGTTGAAAGAGTATTCGGATCTGGTTTAAAAGCGGGGCCGGGGCTCCGTGCGTAACCGGAGAGGTGGGTGGTGGGCGCCCCGGGAGGGCGAAGGGAAGAAAGAGCCGCCCTCAGCCCTGGCTGGTGTGGCTCAGTGGGTAGAGTGTTGCCCTGCGAACTGGGTGGTCCCAGGTTCGATTCTGGTCAAGGGCACATGCCCGGGTGGTGGGCGCGATCCCCAGTGGGGGACTTGTCGGAGGCAGCCGATCCATGCTTCTCTCTCATCATGGATGTTTAAAAAAAAAGAAAGAAAGAAAGAACCGCCCTCAGAGTGAGAGGAGTGGAGCGAGAGAAGGGAGTAAACATCAGGGAGTAACGCCAGTGGGTGAAAGGCGGGACTGAGCCGGTTTTTCCAGGGAGCGGAACCATCCGGAACACGGTGCCGGTCGTGATTCCCGTGACCGGCTCCCCCGCGCACAGGGCGAGACCGGCGGCACCCTCGGCGCGCCCGCAGGTGACTCAGGTCCGCGCTCAGGGGGCGTGACGGGACGCATCACTCCGCAGCCTCCGCCGCGGGAAGTAGTCCCCCGGCCGCGCTGGTTCCTAAGGGAGCCGGGCGGGGAGTCCCGCTGTTCTCGGGCCGAGATCCCGGGAGCGCGGGCGCTCAGCCAATCGCTGGAAGGGAGATCGCGTCAGCTCGGCCCGCGGATCCCTCCGCCACGTTGGCTGTGCTGAGGCCGGGGAGCCGCCATCTTGGATGCTGGACCTGGGTTCCGGAGTCCGTCTCTGCCGCGTTCCCGCCTGGTTTCGGTCCGGTGAGTCTGGCATCCTCTGCACCGAGGGTCTTTGTTTTCCTCCCGGCGCCGTGGCCGGGATTTAGAAGTCCCCAGCCCCGGGTTCCAAGGGCCTTGACGTGGCAGGTGAGGAGAAAGGGAAGGGTAGTGGATGTGGGGGTGAGGCCGGAGGTCAGGCCCGA